GGGGAAAAAAAAAAAAAAAAAAGGCAAAAAAAAAACCCCAACCCTTCTGTTTTTCCAAAGGATCTGTCTCAGGAATTTAAAGCACATTTAAGACACACACTCACATAACATAAGGAAGGGGGGGAAAGTCTCTTCCCCTCCCCTTCTTGCAGAAAGCATGGAAGAAAGCTCCAGTTCTCCTGTTTCCCCTGTGGATAGCTTGGGGACCAGTGAAGAGGAGCTGGAAAGGCAGCCAAAGCGATTTGGCAGGAAGAGAAGATACAGTAAGAAGTCCAGCGAAGATGGCAGCCCCAACCCAGGGAAGAGGGGGAAAAAATCCAGTCCCAGCTCCCAGTCTTATGAAGAACTGCAGAGCCAGAGGATCCTGGCCAACGTCAGAGAGAGGCAGAGGACTCAGTCGCTCAACGAAGCTTTTGCCGCCTTGAGGAAAATCATCCCCACTTTGCCCTCGGACAAACTCAGTAAAATCCAGACCCTCAAGCTGGCAGCAAGGTACATAGACTTCCTCTACCAGGTGCTACAGAGCGACGAGATGGACAGTAAGATGACGAGCTGCAGTTACGTGGCTCACGAGAGGCTGAGTTATGCCTTCTCCGTATGGAGGATGGAGGGAGCCTGGTCCATGTCAGCCTCCCACTAGCCACCGCCCGGGCCAGACCAGCTGCCAAAGGGGTAGGTACCCATTTATCTTCTGGATGATGCTCTCGTGTCCTCTGTGGGATGGGTGGCTTCCTCCTTTGGGGAAGCTTTTGGCTCGGTGCTGCGCGGGGAGAGGCGGCGCGGCTCGGTCGGGGCTCAAGGGTGCTGCTGGGGTTTGGGGCCACTGAGCTGGAGGTGAGATGGGCAGTGTAGATGTGTCCTGCTTCCCCATGCCAGAGAAAATTAAAAACCTTCCAGGCAGACAAAAAAAAACCCAAGAAAACCCATTTTTTTTTTTGAAAGAAATGGGCTGTAGGGATGGGGGAAGCTGAGAAGGGAACAGCACCAAGAGCTAAGAGGTGGGGGGGGAGTGGGAGAGAACCATCACTGTGTGAGATTTCCCAGAAAGTGCTGCTTCAGTTTTAAGCAAGGAGAAGGCAATTCGTACAACAGGCTGACAAGGGGATCTGAAACAGCTGCTGCTCCTCTCCTCTGGCAGCTACACCCAAAAAACCCAGCAGCAAACCATGGGCTCCTG